CAAATATTTTTATAGATATTCTCTTTATTTATTTATTTTTTATTTACAGTATGATATTTATTGCTAGAATTGAGTATTGCGTTTAAACCTAATACTGCGATTTGATATATATATATTTTTGGTGATTTTTGCTGTCTCATTAAAGGCTAAAAGGTATGTGATTGTTCCTTTAAAGCCGGGGTGCCCAAACTTGGTCCTGGAGGGCCGGTGTCCTGCATAGTTTAGCTCCAACTTCCTTCAACACACCTCCTTGAAGCTTCTAGTATAACTAGAAAGAGCTTGATAAGCTGGTTCAGGTGTGTTTAACTGGGGTTGGAACTAAAATATGCAGGACACTGGCCCTCCAGGACCAAGTTTGTGCTTTAAAGAGACTGCATTAAAATCAATGTTGGGAAGGTTACTTTGGAAATGTAATAGATTAAAGATTACAAATTACCCTAAGTGAAATGTAATAAGTAGTGTACCTTTTCAATTACTTAAAGGGCACATAGTTTACCCCTTTTTTATGATTTAATATTAATATTATGGTTCTTCTGAGTGTGCCAGTTTAGGTTCAGTTCAACTCACAGTTCAGATGTTTTTATTATAATGTGTTAAAAAGTGTCATTCTGGGGGCATTTACACAGTTTGCTGTTTAGGGGTGTGTTGCTTCACAGTTTCGGCTTTCCGCTCAACGTAACAAGTGGGCGGAGCCAAGAGCTCACCCAGCGCCGAGCAGCTTACCTGAAGCTCACTGCGTGCAGCCCAACAGAAACCCACGCAGCGCTGAGCAGCTGACCCGAAGCTCACTGCGTGCAGCCCGACAGAGACCCACGCAGCGCCGAGCAGCTGACCCGAAGCTCACTGCATGCAGCTCGACAGAAACCCACGCACCGCCGAGCAGCTGACCCGAAGCTCACTGCTTGCAGCCCGACAGAAACCCACGCAGCGCCGAGCAGCTGACCTGAAGCTCCACCGCATACAAACCGACAGAAACCCATGCCCAGAACTCCGAAATGCACGGTGCCACGCAAAAGGTACAAGCAATAATTCCGATTACAGCAATAATGTGGAGAATATTCATCTTGTGTTTAGCCCAATGAGCTTTTTATCAAAAATAGAGCAAGGGTGTTCCTTTAGCGTTATCGCTTTGACTCACACTCTGAAAATGGCAGACGTGCAACAAGAAACTGAGGATGTGATCGAGATGCGAGGCTGTCAATCAATATTGGTGGGTGGGGGGAACGCACTCATACGTAAAGTTGCGGTCGGTCTGAAAACCGATCCAATTGGTCCACCGTTTTTTTGTTGTTAAATTTAAAAAAAAGGACTGTGTATGTTAATATCACCCCAAAATGACGGTCAATACACTATACCTACACACATGTCTGTCCAAACAGCTTGAAAAGTAGATTTTTCACCATAGGTGCCCTTTAATAAAAGTAAAGTAACTGATTACATCTGATTACATTTTGATTATTTTTAAGTTTCTAATGGATATTTCAACTAAATCATTTACAAGCATTTATACCAAGCAGGTGTGACCTTAAAGTAGCTCTGTTTACAGTTAGAATTTCAAAATCTTTCATCACTAGAATTAAGATTATATTATTTTAATATTTCAAAGTACAGCCATCACAAAATAAGACCTTATAACAGAAAAAAAAACTGTTTACTGTTGTTACAAAATCAAATTTTAGTTAGCTGTGCAGGGTGATTTTTGTGGCATTTGCAATAAAAAAAAATACATCTAAACAGTTTTTGCAATTTTCATTTTTAAATCGAAGAAACTTAAATTCAAGTCAATCATATGTTGACCAATAAAACTGTCAATGACTACGATACATGGACATCAGAAACCAAATAATTTGCTTTGATCTAATTAAGAGAATAATAAGACTAAGGTGTTTACATGAGTTGCTTTTTTGAGTGTTACTTTCATGATCCCGTTTTACATGTTGTGGCACATAATTCGATTAACGTCATTGCGTCACAGCGCAATCCCCATTCCCTCCAGAGTTTCATGTAATTTCGGGTGTTTCATTTTTAGTTTGTCAAACATTCACTAACATTTCATGCACGTCTCCGTGGCAAACGAGATATTGGATGCAACTATGAACTGCTGGAAGAGTGATGTTTTAATGAAAGTTCATACCCTATGCTCAATGGAAGAAAAAACACCTTCGAATTTCACGATGCAGGTGTCTGTGATCTGCACTGACTGGGTGGGTGCAAAAAGTGTCAAGCAGCCACACGTGTGTGTGTACTATCCTGTCGCAAAATGCTGCAAAAAGTCCTACATGACGGTAATAGTTTGATCAGGTGTTTACATGTCTATAATGCACTTCAATAATGCGACTAAAATCGGCATACTCCACAAGTCTTAATTCGATTTCTCTTTAGTTCAATTATGACCTTAATCTGATTAAATTAATCAAAAATCGCTGTTTACATGGTTAACTCTTAATCAGAGTATTGTCTTAATCAAATTAAAATCAAATAATTGGTGTCCAAGTAAACGTAGTCAGTGAAACATACGAAGCATGATTGTTGTAGTTCAATTGTTTACTGCAAATAATATGCTGCAGAAACAAATTATAGTATATAACAGCAAAAACAAGAAAAAATATCAATAACACCAGGTACTACACATTTAAAATACTATAGTAAAAAATAGTAAAAGGAAATATTTAGGAGTGAGCATTATATTGCATATATATTTACACCTCTTCATTAATGAATTACACTACATAAAGTAGAATCATTAGTATATATTGTGTATATAGTACATTAGTAAAATAGCTTTGCTACTGAAAAACTATTTGATTTATAAAGTAGCGACGCTACCGCCCAACACTGTTAATATGATAAAATCGCTTGGGCCAGGAGTCTGTTGGTGCCCTGAATTTTAAAAAATCGATAACTTTGTGAGTCATAATATTTCATTCAAAATGATAGGGTCTGTTTTTATATCTGTACACTCACGATAACAACAAAAATCATTTGCTTTTTGAAAATAAACAGAGGCTAGGTTACATACCTGCTTTCTGAGAGTCGATATTGAAGCCTTGAGCCTTTATTTTAAAATTTCCAACAAATTGCTACTGGTTGTAGTAGCGTAATGCTAATAGGATTAACGTAATTGGTAGACGTGGTACGCTACAAATTCAAACCGGAAAATCAATCAGAAACATCGGAATAGCGCCGCTTTAATAAGTGGCCTTAGCAGAAGGCATTGTGCATATCAAAAACAGGCAAAGCAACAGATATATATTATTCAACATACCCCAGATTTTTAACGAACTTTTATAGATGTAATCCCATTTGTAATCTTTAACATTTTCATTAATGTAATTTAAGGCGAGGCAGTGGCGCAGTAGGTAGTGCGGTCGCCTCACAGCAAGAAGGTCGCTGGGTCGCTGGTTCAAACCTCGGCTCAGTTGGCGTTTCTGTGTGGAGTTTGCATGTTCTCCCTGCCTTCGCGTGGGTTTCCTCCGGGTGCTCCGGTTTCCCCCACAGTCCAAAGACATGCGGTACAGGTGAATTGGGTTAGCTAAATTGTACATAGTGTATGAGTGTGTGTGTGTGGATGTTTCCCAGAGATGGGTTGCGGCTGGAAGGGCTTCCGCTGTGTAAAAACTTGCTGGATAAGTTGGCGGTTCATTCCGCTGTGGCGACCCCGCATTAATAAAAAGGGACTAAGCCAACAAGAAAATGAATGAATTAATGAATGAATGAATGAATGAATGAATAACTGTAATTTATTTACACATTTTTTCTCAGTTACTGTAACGAATTACTGTTATATTTACTTTGTAATTACATTATGTAACGCTGTTACACATACAGTAACTAGTTACTCCCCAACACTAATTATGAGCCATTTTAACTAAAGCAATGCATTACTTCAAGGGCCATGAACTCCCTATCTTTCGGTTTAAGTCTACCTCAGAATTTTTTTAAAAAGTGCATCATAATGGGCATGGAGGAGCCTTGCAACCAGAGGGAGGAGTGGGCATGGCCAGCAGATCAGGGGAAAAAGAGGGGAGCGAACAACTGTTGTCAGTTGGCTCACAAAATGAGACAAAAAGAAGATGCATGATTTTGTAGTTTACAAGGAGAAATAAACAGTAATTTAATGTTCTGCTACATATGGTATTCGTAATTTCATATACACATAACCACAATTTATATCATTATAAAGATAATCACATTTATATAAACACTTAAAATGAGGACTTCTCTCCTCCTCAATCCCCGGGTCTGAATGCAAACACAGTGGATAGCAGTGCAACAGGTCTCTTGGCCTGTCTATTTCAACCATTAGCCATGCTGGTAATCTGGAGGATTTTAAACATGTGCAAACACAGCGGCACAGATATAGGCGATGTGTCTGAATGGTAACAAATTCAACTAATAAAAGATAAAGTCAACCATTCACCAATTCTTATACAGCTCTCCTGACAGCTTTGCTGTATCGGCCCCGACAGCATCGCAGAGAAAAACATGCAACAAACCCTGTGTATCATGGAAAAATGATTTGAATCACCAACACCTCCAGATATTTAGCACGCCAAATATCTCACAGGCATCGGCGACTCATCGGGGATTCTCTCAGATCGCGTCTTTAATAATTCATACTGTGTGATTTTCACTCACGTGCACGAGCACCAATTTGCCTGTGATTTCAAGCATTTGTCTGCAATTTCTCAAAACATGTCGTCGAGTCACAATCGGGGCTAAATGATAAAAATCTGCAATGATAATATATGGTAACTCCTTGCTTGGATAACATGGATATGTCTCTTTTGTTGAAAAATAAGTTTTTGGTGACTGATATATATGTAAATCTAACAACATACATTTTCATGATTTTTAGAATGACTTAATGGGAGAGGGAGAAATATAATTTAATCTCATTTTGCAGTAGTAATGAACTGACATTTAGAGAAAAACGACTGATTTTGAACACCCATGGTATAGAGCATTACAAACATGTGACAGACTACTGAAGTTCTCACCTGTCTTTGCCGGTCTCCTTCTTGAAAACAGTGTCGCAGTAATTCATGCGCTCTTCTGTGGTGACGTAAATGCGAGCCTGTGGGTAGTTTTCAACCGCTTGTCGCAGCATGTTGTAAACAATGCCTTTCCCATCCTGCCTCATGTTGCGCAGTGGTCCCCAGACCACATAGACGGTCTCATTCCCCTGTCCGAAGAAGTGCTGGGGTTTTTGAATTAGCAGAGGAACACTTGTGTGAGACACAACCCTCAGGTCTGTCCTGTGTCCCACATCCCTCTCAAAGCCCCGGGTGGGTGCATTGTTCATTCTCCATATGCAAGAGGACTGGTCAATGTCAGCCCCTGCCTCACGTCCCAATATCTGGCCAGAGCTGGACACTACACTGCAGACCTCACAATGCAGCTTCAGCGGCTAAAGGAGAGAAGAGAAATTTGACTAATTAACATTATGGGTCATAGGAATATGCTGATATTCAGTAATTTGATATATCGCCATAATAAACATCCACAATATTGATTATTGATATGGGCATGATATTGGTAAAAGCTGACATTGCAGTAATTGTTTTTTTGTATAATATACACACACCACCTTAAACATACTAAAAGTATTGTCGCCAAGTTGTAGGACTTCAGTTGATTATTTGGTATCAGAAGTGGCTGATAGGAAAGGCGAAGGCCTCTAGATTATGCTTATTTTACCAAAACAAAATATGATCATGACTTGAACTTTGATTATTTAATTAGGACAGTAAGGTCTGACTCTGTCTTGTCAATTATCAGAAATATTGTACAGTATAGAATATAAAGTCATGGTGCAGTGGAAAAATAATTCATATTGTCTATGACTCCCATGAGCTTGGAGGACTGCATCCATACATTTCTGTGAGTCAATGAATCAAATAACATTATTAAAGTCATCTGGAATAGCAAAGAAAGTGTTCTTGCACGGCCTCCAGAGTTCATCAAGATAATGCCTCCTCCATCTTACCCCAGACATGCTTAATAATGTTCATCTCTGGTGACTGGGCTGGCCAATCCTGGAGCACCTTGACCTTCTTTGCTTTCAGGAACTTTGATGTGGAGGCTGAAGTATTAGAAGGAGTGCTACCCTGCTAAAGAATTTGCCCTCTCCTGTGGTTTGTAATCTAATGGGCAGCACAAATGTCTTGATACCTCAGGCTTGATGTTGCCATCCACTCTGCAGATCTTTCACACACACTCATACTGAGTGCAAGCTCAAATCCTAATTTTTCCTTCACCAAACTTGACTGAATTCTGTAAGAATCTTGGGTCCATGCGAGTTCCAATAGGTCTCCTGCTGTTTGTGATGATTGGGATGCTGCTCAATAAATGATTCATCTGAAAAATCTACCTTCTGCCACTTTTCCGAATGATCAACAAGAAGTCAAGTTAGTATATGTTGATCTTACAACTAGGATTGACGACAAGACTTTTGTCAGGTAGTGTGTATATATATTGCACTGTTAACCCTTACTGTAGATTATGCAGGAAATAACTGTAAAATTGCCAGTGTTTTGCTGTAATAAAAGGAAACAGTATTTTACTGTAAAAGGAGCAGAATTTGTATGAAATTTTGTAGTGCAAAGAATAAATTACAGTAATTTACTTTATGTACCCATTACAGATAGTTACTGTGATAATAAATGGTAAATTACTGCTCAACCATTACTGCCCCATCTACTCTGATGCTTTATGTTGCTATATATATATATATAAAAAAAAAAAAAAAATATATATATATATATATATATATATATATATATATATATATATATATATATATATATATATATATTAGGGATGTCACGATTTTGGTTTTTAATCGAAATCGATCGAAATTTATGCTCAATTTCGATTATCGAATCAAAAAATAGAATCGTCGATGCTGCCACGCCCCCATGTCACGTCAGCTTGGCTTACCAAGCGGGAAAAAAAACAGGCTTGTTAAAGTGCTTGTTAAACTGCAGAAGCAGGAGACCCGTCGACAGAACTTAAACCCTCTCCTCTCTCAATGAAGTCGCCGGTGTGTAAGCATTTTGGATTTCCAGTGAGTTATGTTGACAACGTTCGTGTTGTCAACAAAAAAAAACACAGTTTTGCAAGCTCTGCAATGTACGTATTACGTACGGTTCGTCCGATAGACAACACCGGCATCGCGATCCTCCACCCGCCCCCGTTGCAAATTCACTCGCGAAAAGTACACACTCAGGCCCTGTTTACACTGTCTTTGTTTTTAAATGGCATTTTAGAACGACAACGATTTGACATACACAGTGGCATGTAGCATTTCTGAGCATCCCTTCTTCCTCACTACCTCTAAAAATGCACATCACGTGACCACACAGACACAGACGCACACACAGCCTTGCGCTCCAGACAGCAGGTCTAGGCAGTCAGAGGACTGCTTCAATCTTTCACTCACTTGTACTTAGTCATTTTAGCGAACACCTCAGATACTGTTGGCTGGTTCCTGTTGGTTGTGCGTCTTTTTTACCGACGCCATTATAACGACACAGATCACTGCCTATTCACGAGTCCCGCAGAAAAAGTGATTGACAGGTGGTAATTACGTGTGTATCTTGCCTTTATTCATTTACTGTATGATTTGTTTATGGGTAAAAAAAAGACCATGCAGGTCAGTAGTTTAAACGGTAGGCTACAAAAATGAATTGGTCATTAATTAGTTAATTATACATAATTGAAAAAATCGAATCGAATCGTGCCTTCAGAATCGAAAATGTAATTGAATCGAGAATTTGGAGGATCATGACACCCTTTATATATATATATAATTCACACACACACACACACACACACACACACACACACACACACACACACACACACACACACACACACACACACACACACACTATTGATCTTTGTTTAAGCTTCTCATCTTTATAACTTTAGATGAGATGAGATCTTTGTTTAAATTCGTTTGAAATCTCAAACAGGCACAAGTCTTCAAAAGCACGTCCAAATGAAAACTTTTCACTATATTAAAGTTAAACTTTGCTTAGACTCCATAAATCACATGCTCTGAACTGTGGTGGCTGGTTATTATAAATCCAACTTGACATTGCAGATTTTGCGATGTGACTATCGCAGATTCCCACATTGTGATAAGGATGCTAAAACTATATATTGTCCAGCTCTAATTGTTAGATTGTCTTTTAATAATATTCAGATTGTTGTATTGGCAGTGGTTGTTCATCACAGTCCCAAATGATTGAAGACTTAATAAGCAATTTGTTTCCGAACATACAACATTTTCATGTATATTTGTAAATATCAGTTCATTTAAGTAAAGTCAACGTAATGGCAAATACAATAGCATTTATTAATCTTAGGTGCTGATAATTTCTTAGTTAATCACAAAATATTCTTTGAAATTTAAGAGTCATAATCGATATATTAAAAGAGCTAATAACTAAATAATTCAGTTGTTTTTTAAACTAACTTTAACATATAATTATAATAAGGTTCACAGTTGATTTTAACGCATTAACTAACATTAAATAATAAGACTTTAATGAAGTGTTACCTACTGTATTTTGCGATCCTTTTGCAATTAATTATATTTATTATAGTATTTCTTTCTGTTGCTATTACTTTCAAAGTAATCATTTTTGCAGCTTAGGTCAGTATCGTGATGATAGAGTATACCATGGCAGAAGCCATGGTTTATCTAAATCCTGCAAGCTAACATAGATCATTTTAACTCAACAATGATACGGAAATTGATTGGTTTGGAGTAGGTGCAATCAATTATGTGTATACATTTTTTTTTTAAACAAAACTCTACATACTACAAGAAACCTGCAAATAAATTTACGAAATGTAATACTAAATATGTCATAAAATGTTTGGTTAACACTACTTATAATATATCTAATAATATAATCAATATATCGTTAAAAAAGCAGAGTAAACCATGCACCATCACCCAGACTGCGATTCTGTAACCTTATGAACTACAAATCCCATTATGTAACCTCACACACACCTGTTTCTGGTTTACCGATGATCTACAATCTATATAAATGCCATTCTCAAGCATTCTCATTGCTGAGTCTTGTTACTGTTTATGTGCATTTCAAAGTGTTTACCTGTGTCAGCCTGTCTGTGTTTTGATCCCTAGACTGTTTACCCTGTTTTAACTGTTTTCTGCCTGCCCTGACCATTGCCTGCTATCTGGAATACTCTTTGCTTCGGTTTACCCTTGCCTGTATAACTTTCCCATTGTATAATAAAAGCTACGTTTGGATCTCTTTTGTCAGCACATCCTGTCATAACACGTCAAGTCGATGGTTAGAGGTTTTCAGGTTCAAAATATCTTTAGAAAGAAACTAATAAAGGTTTGGAACCACTTGAGAGAAAGTAAATAGTGAGTGAACTTAAACAGTGAGCTCTTCAAACCAGCAGTGTAATAACGAAAAATCGAAACCATGGCATTAAATCTATTACAATGGCTTTCTATTTATCTATTTAAGAGATGCTGAGTGCTGTGAGATTGGCCTTACAAATTACAACCATGTTTGCTTTGCATGGCTGATCTGCCATCTGAGTCGGAGCGCAATATCCTATTGTCTATGACAGGATAATGGTGGTAGGGAACGATCAATAGCTTATGACACACCAGCAGATCAGTAACAATTTACAAGTAACTTCAGTTTTGCCTCTCTAAATGTTATGTTTTTCACATTATTCTATTAGAACAAAAACACAGAAAAAAACAACCACTGAATTACTGCGACTCTGACACAGTGGAAAAACAGCAGGAAGCTTTCAGACACACTTAGCGCTTGGCAAATGATAGATATTTGGTTTCCAGATATGGAAATGAGATTATGTCCATCAACAGACCAAAAAACGTATATGGAAAGTAAATAAGATGCATATACTGCTTTGGCATACTGGGATATATGAAACTGCATCTGATTGAAATCCATTTGGCATTAAATTCATTTGGCTTCTGAATATTTGATTTGTTTTGTTTCATTAGCAATACAAGAATGTAAACAAATAGCGACTATGCAAACCCATATGAAAATAAGGTATACATATAGCCCTTTGCCACCGTGAAAGCAGCAGACAACATTTTGGTTGAGAAGATAATGTAACTTTCTGAATATTATTCAAAAAGAAGTGGTATAGAGTCAAGTGTCTAACACTTCCTAACAGTTTTGTTTTGTAAGCAATACAAGAATATAAAGAAATAGCAACTATACAAACCTAGAACCTATATGAAAATAAGGCACAGCTATAGAATCTACTGTATTGACCAAATAAGTGGAATAAAAATCGATCAATACATTTAATTTATTCATTGACTAACTAATTAATTTAAATTAAATTAAATAATGTTTCACAAAGATGTAGTGT